ACAAATAAAAACTTCTTTTCTTTTCAGAGAAGGTAGCTAAGTTAATTCTTCTTGGAGATAGAAGTCAAACATTTTCTTGGTTAAACAAAGCTGTTTTTTCGTAAATATCCGAAAAAACTTTCTATTTGAGGGTCAATCGATAACTCTTTTTGAAAGCTACAGATAAAGCTTTCCCTTATGGATACCCTTCATATATTTGTTGTATAAGAAATACTGAATTATTCACTATGTAGTAGCCAACAAAAACTTTCAGAGAGAATGGCTAGAAGCAAGAGAAAACTTAAGAGGAAAACATTATCACGTTCTCCTTAAACTTATGGCTTGTCTACATCCGTACCCTCAAGTTGTTGCAGCAGATTTTACAAAAGGAGATGCCAATTATGAATCTGACTTATATTTTGAATAATCAAAATGCAAAATTCTTCAACAAGATTTTAGTTATTTACTAAGCACTATGAAAATACTATTTGAGTGTGCGTATTCTCATTGCCCACACTCACATCCTTAATATAGGTTCATATGTAGAACATAAACTTTTTATTTTTTGTGTTTAATCAAAGAATTATATACAGGTATATCTGGACGCATATATATATATATACAGTCAAAAGAAGAAGAAGAAAGCAAAGCAATACGAGAGGATATATCGCATGTCGTAATGATGGTGTCATCAACAGATCGTAATATCATCAATGTTTTTCGCGTTGTGCATCGAGCAATACATCAATCTTGTCTTTCAGCATATGCCTTTCAGAAAAAAATAGCTAGATGCAACAAGAGAATAAGGCACACTTTCGTACAGCAAAAACTATTTCTCGATGTCGCGTGCTCTAGAAAAAAGGCTATTAAGATATTTGCAAAAATCAACAGTTCATTAAAGACATTGCAAATGACTTAACAAATAACCGGCTGATTTGTCAAACTGTTTTTTTATTCACTCTGATCTATCGAGTTCATATTGTCACCATTCGCCTTATCTAAGAGATTGGAAACTCACTAAATATAATGACACACGTATTATCAATTTTAATATGAGTATTGATGTCTGCTCGAATAAGCCACTAAGTTTTCACATTTCATAGGACTGATTTTTTACCATTTAAAGATAACCTGAAAAACGGTATAGTTATCGTAATTTCTATTTGGCATGCATCGCAAAATCGAAATTTTTCATGAAAATGACTTGTTTTGTAACAATGAACAACATGTAAAAGTTCTTTTCACGTGTACCATCTCAAGAAATGATTCTTAAAAAAGGAAGGTTAATCTATGAGCATTTTTTAAAGGATCGTCCTAATTTGTTCGGAACGATATGTCTTATATTAGACAGTGTGTTGAAAGGGAAAAATAATAAAAGAAGTTGCATGTTAGAGAAATGCCAATGTTTGTGTCTGTTATTTTACCACTAAAATGTTGACAGGCGATAAAGATAAACGCTTTCGAGTGTATTATTTTGATTCGCCTGACTGTAAATAAATCAACAACAGGATTAGATAACAATACGGTCAAAATATTTACGAGAAAAATGTGGAATTATTGCCGAACTTGAAGAAAAACGGATTGCTAACAAGTGAAGCCACGTGGCTTGTTTGATAATACATCTTGTCTATCATCCTTCATTTCAAGCCCTCATTTATATATATATATATATATATATATATACTTGCCCGTCTTCAAATTTTTGACATCTACCGATTGCCTTGTTTTCACATAAATGCTGTACTCGTCGATTTTACTATTACATGTTCTCGTGATAATATTGGGTCTCTATCATTCAATTGTCCCTGTTGGTAAGTCAATCATAGGAATGTACTTTTAGATTAGATTGGAATTTCAATTTTGCTTTCTCAGTCAAAGTCAATCGAGCATTTGATCTTCAAAATAGGCATTTTTTAAAATAATTTCTTTTAAACCCTCCGACAATACACCGCAAATTTATAACAGTCAAAGTTCGTTAGCTCAAAAATGTAGCCCCTCATTGGGTCACACTGACAATTTTTTGTCGAAAATATTTACACTTTACTGGAATCTTATTTCTACCAATTTCGTTAAATAGGTCTTGTTTTGATCGATGAATAGCATTAAGAAGTCTGCCATTGAAATATTCCTAGCTAAGACAAATCTATAAACAATACATCATTTCAATTGCTCAGGCTAAGTGCTAGGTAGCTTTTTATATTGTTATTGTTTAAATATCTCGAATTTTGAGAAAAAAGATCTTCACAAAAGTTTATCTTCTCGAGAAGATGTTTGTCAACAAGAGAAACATTGTCTGATTGATGGAAGAAAAACGCGTCCGAAAGTATGAACTCTTAATGAGTATGACTAGAAAATAAAGCCAACAATAACGTTATTTAGAAAAGTGTTGACATACATCAACAGAGGTCTCATAGCGATATGTGTCGATAAATCTTCTCTCTAGTTTTCTGTGATAATTAAATCAGTTTATAGAAACAAATATAAAGAGCCAACAACAAGTTTGAACAAAACAAGCACGCCCTCATTATCACTTTAATGTGAATTAAAAGCTATACAACTGAAATTCATTTAAATGGAATGTTCCTAACTATTCTAGTCATAAATGGGAATTTTCGTAGCAAATTTTATATCAAATAAATTCCAGAAAAATTATCCATTTATAATGAGTTTCATAGAAAAAATTTCCATCGTGTATTTTCCTTCAGAACATTCCCCTCTTTTAGTGTTTCTCAAGAACAGCTTTACAAAAAACTGATGAAACTTTCATGGTAGATAGATCTAGACTAGTAGAGTAAAACTTGTCATGAACTTAGATTTCACAGACGCTTCCTTTCATGAGATATAGGAGCACAGAGATCAACAATAATATGAAGTTTTCTCTCCTGCAATCAACCAGAATATATTTTTTATGACTGAAATTTTTTGCAGCAATTAGAACCAAGTCAAGGAATATATATTGTTTTTTTTCTTTGAAAAGAATTGTTTCCTTCTCTTATGATAGCTGAAATATTGGAAGCCCTGCCAAAAAAAATGTTTTTTTCCCAGAGCAAATGTTAGAAGATTTGCAAAAGAAACACCAGAACAGTATTTTAAGAAAAACATATATACATCCTGATTTGATCCTAGTTGCCAGACAAAAAATTTCAGCTCAATCAGCCGAAATGTCTTGTAGAAAAAGAGGTAAAACTTCTATTTTTCTCTAAAAAGTTGATTTTGAGAAAGACGTGCGACAACGGAAAACATCATTTTTTTCATATTTCTTGTTTTTCATTTATGGCCCACAGAGCACATTGTCATGTCGAAATAGCTATATATTAATAAAGACCATCGGCAGTACAATAAAGCTGTAGAACATGATTTTTTTCTATAGGGGCTCTCCAAAGTGGGTTTTTCTAAGAATCAAAATCAACATGAAACTTTTTGTTCATATGTCATTCGACAGACGACAGTTGAATGTGTTTTTAGATACGAAAAAAATCAAAACCTAAAAAGAGTGAATTTTTGGAGTCGAGAAAAGGGAGCTGTCTTTCAAGCTACCTGCAACAAAAAATACATGAACTACCTGAAATAAGACTCTTTCTACGATCTGATTTTCTGACATTCGAAGATTCAAAAACGAAAAATATGTTTTTGTGAATCAAACTTGACACGACTCTAGGAAAACAGTAAAATCTGTAGATACCAGAAACTTTATTTCTATTTTGGTCGATTTTTCCAGATTTTACCTCATGAAATCGAGTGCTGGTTGGAATTGATGACGAGTAACTCTTTTCCTTTTCGCGTTGGTTTTTTTTCTACAATAAATATTCTTTTCATAATAATGAACTTTATGATTCTAGCACTAGCCAACCGTATTCGATGGCAAGGAAATTGGGCTTTTAGCTGCGACTTTCCTGGCAATGATATCAATGATGTTCACGCCTCTGGTGGAGAATGTGGTGGAGAATGTTCAAGAACACCAGAATGTACTCATTTCTCTTGGACTTCATGGCAAGGTGGTACTTGTCGGCTTAAAAAGGGACTGATTTCCAAGAGTCAAGCGATTCAAGCTGTTGATAAGACTCAGATCTGTGGAATAATAATCGATTCAGGACCGAGTGATCCTCCATTAACACCAATTCCAGGTTAGACTGGATAAAAGGAGAAAAGTAGTGGTAAAATCGATACATTTGCATGCAGACAAACTAATCCACTTGATGTTGATTATCTCACGTTCATTCAAACTAGACACCAATACCTAGTCAGACAGGATCTCACAAGAAACGCATTTAAATTTCGTACTAACAGTGTTTTAACATGTGTTTATCATTAAAACTATGGTTATCAGAATTTTTAACACGTATAAAAGCACTCAGGATGGATGAACCTGTTAAAACCACAGGAAAAAGAGTTGAAACCAGATCTTTTTCTGATTAGAGTGGTTAAAGTGTGCTGATAATTAAAAAATCAAGATAAGCACTTTTTTTGGCATTCCGCCAATTTTAAATCGCAAACATCAAGTCAATAGAAAAGTTAGTGGAATCAAAAACGTCAAAAGCATCATTTTTTGTCATTGTTATGATAAAAATGTCTTCTTTTAACAACTTACTTCTATCAACAGGCTTGAATTCTAAGAAAATACTTAAAACCAAGGCACGGAACAAAACTATGCCTTTTCGAATAAGTGGTTTGTTTGATTAAATTGAGCTTTTAATCAAATTAATTTTTCAAATTTAAAATTGACTAAAAAATTTTAGAAGATCTGCTGGTTCCTACTCAGACACAACGCATGAATTATTTTCCCAATTCACGTGTTTTCGCTAGTTAGTCATTTTGGTAGTTTCTACCAATGTAGTCCGAGTTCATATTAACACAAGAGCTTAAACCCAAAAATTTTAAATGACAAGATGCATTTGTTTTTTGAATTAAAATTTAATTTCTTATTTCTTTATTTTTAGCAAGATTTAATGCGTCTTAATAGCTATGTTACATTTTAGAATGTGAAAGACAGAGTTTTTATTTATTAAAGGTACACTCCATCTACACTGACAAATGCACATAACTAAGTATTTTACACATAATTATTCTTTTATATTTAATTGGAGTCCCTGTGACAAACTAGAGAAAACATAGCAAGTCTTACTGCAGATATCTCAAGTATGTTATTGAGTGTGGATGTGACTGGATAATCGAAAGAACTTCGTTTTGACCGGCTCATTCGAAGAGAGTTCGAGCTAGAAGATGCAAGTGTCACGATCAAGATTTGCGTTTAAAACTAGGATCAAACATGCATTGAGCATTATGAATGCATGGCTGAAAGAAAAAAGCTATAAAGTATTGAGGTAATGAAAACTTCTACGCAATTTTCTCAAAAGACGGGGTAGCCCAAAAGTCACTTTACTGAAAAAAATTGAATATCTGCATTATGTCTCGAACAAAAGAACTCATTTTTTTATCGATAATAGAGGCATGTTCAAGCTTTATATCCATAAAGATATGGCTAGAGAAATCCTCTGTTAATTATCAATATTGATTTCAACAAAAAAAAAATTCTTTTTTTCACAGGTAGGAAGAAAGCAAAATACTTAACAAAGAGTCTCTCTTGGCATATCTTTATGGATATAAAGCTTGAACATATCTCTACCATTATTTAAAAAAACCAGCTCGTTTACCCGAGTCGTAATGTAGATGTTCAATTTTTTTCGATACAGTGACTTTTGAGCCACCCTGTATTTTCTCGCTTAAAAGATTTTGTTGTTATTTAATTACTTCAATCGTATTCATAGTATATCATATGTATTGATTCATCTAGGTCCACCGGTAAGTAGAAGAAAACCAGTCGATTAGATGAAGAATTCTATTCAAGCTAATTTTTAATTTTTATTTTAGGGGCCACGCGGACAAAAAGGTGATCGAGGTGAGTTGCAAAAAGATAATGTGCACGAAAGAGCCTACGTTAGTCATTTTCTTCATTCATCCTATAATCAAAAAGATATAGATGAGTAGAAGAATAAGGTTTTCAGAGGGCACAAATCTACTGGATTAGTTGGCACAAAATGTCTATATGATTCGTTTTTCTATTTTAGGTGCTCGGGGACCACCGGGTAACAAAGGAGAACCGGTTCGTGTGGATATCTTCTTCTTTGATTGAACCCATAGAATTTTCTTTTCTCAGGGAACAATGGGTCTGACAACACATTCTTCTTGGTAATCGATTTTCAAATTACAAAATCTTTAATCGATTGAATTTTTCTCTAGCCTTTCGCCAACAGAATTTAATAAATATATGACTTCATTTAAAAATGAAGCTCAAGTATTGAAACAACATGCCATAATGATCGAACAACAAGTGAAAGTAGTAAACGTTTTCCGATCGAGTATCCAAAATCTTACCAAAATATTAGACAGCAGAGGTGACAAGTGTAAATGCTCTGATGATATTATCGAATGCTATCGATTGTATCGAATTTTCGTTTTTATATAGCGTTTCCCGAAGTCAATACGTCGCAAACACCAATAATAAACAATCCAATGAATCCCACATTCGAATTTTGGCCGCCAACTGAAGTCTGGTGTCCCTGGCGAACCGATAGTTGTACGCAGATGATTTCTCGACCTGGTCAAATGACCATCGTCATGGATCAAGCAGTACAACTGGCATTTGAACTTCATTTGTCGATTAGTAATGATCCAACAAATACTAGTTATGCTATTCGTCTCGCAGTTACTACGCAACAAGTACAGATTAGCAAAATAGTCGATGGTCTAACGATAGGTATAAATCAAACGACTGAACACGATTATGTTTTACATGAAGAAAAAAGTAAGTAGAATATCACCTAGAATAAAGACAAAACAAACCATTGATATAATCATCTTGGTTTTAGGTGTGTATTGGTTGAGCCTCGATTATATGGCTTTATCAGTTAAATATGGTCAAGGTGAAGTAAGAGATAGGTGTACGCTGCTTCAAAGTTCTCTATCAAAAGTGGAAAGAAATACTGTCCGACAAATTCAGTTCGTGCACGTTTCATTCAAAGGTAGTCGTCTGTTGGCAGACTATAAAAAGTATGAGTACAAGGTGAAATTGAAAATCGGTCAACATCCTGTTGTTCTAGACCCACCATTGTTAGTGGTAGAACCGGACAAAGCAGGTCTTGATGTATTTCTTAATAACTCGGCTATTCTCTTGACCCGTTTGAAAGAACCATGTCGATTATTATACTATGATATTCTTGGTTGGAAATTTCAAGACGATGCTTTTCCTTATTTTTTTGAAGCTATCGAGCAAAGTATTCGGAATGAATCAGGTTGGTGTTACAAAAAACTAAAAGAAAAATTAACAAGATTCAATATATCGAATCCACATGCTATTTATCTAAGAATTACTGTTGGCATGAATCGAGGTACTCCAACCGGCGTTCCCTATGTTCTGGAAATTTGGCCACCAGGTCACTACAGTCCCATTCATACTCATAATGATACTTATGGAATTATTCGAGTTCTATATGGTGAAATTAACGTGAAACTCTATCGAACATTAAGTTCAGAACGAAAAAATCCATTTCATGAAATGACCCTCTACAAAGATCAAGCTACTTGGCTTTCGCCCGGTTTGAATCAAATTCACAAACTAGAGAATCAATCACTAAATCAAACATGTATCACCATTCAAGCGTATGAGTATCGAAACGTCGAAGTTCATCATTATGAACATCTCGATTATGTTAACGATGATGGACAAATTATTGACAACTTTGAACCCGTATCCGATATGGATTATTTAGAATTTCGAAAGAAAATGATTAATGAATGGAATAATGGCTTGTAACTTTTTAACGATGACTATTGTTGCAGTTCAACGAAAACAGATGAATAATAAGCTAATCAATGATACTCGATACGTTAATTAACATGAGTTTTTGCTTATACAACACCTCGTAATTCCTGCTAAACTTTCCCTACTTTTTTCACCTATCTAAAGATATTTTTTCTCATCAAACCTTTATCTGATCAATATGGAGAAGAAAGAAAAAAGTAGAAGAACAAGTTTTTGATCTTATTAATTGATTGAGTCACACTGTCTCGATGTTTTGTTCAGGAGAAGGATCTTTCCGATTCAGTCTTTTTTTCAGCTTTTTCTCGTCAAATACATAGTTATCATGCTTGAATACTAAGCGAACATAGAAAAATATCTGTTCTGACATGTGCTCGACAGATATGATTTCTTACGTCTCGAATTCAATCAATTATATATGTACAATGGTTAAGGCTGGGCGAGGAGATACTCAATAGAAATTGACACTATTAAGCGCTGTCTTTCTTGACAGAGACAAGTCTTCGATTGTTCGTGTCAATCAGTTAAAGTTTCCGGTCATAATTATCTGTGGAACAGCTTGTCTCATTGATAATGAAAAAACAAACGCCATTCGGGATATTTCTCTATCTTGATTCTTATTATTGATGTTAACGACGAGAAGACCGACTGGCAATTATGTTTTCTTATATATAGGCTTATGTCTGAGAAATATTTGCCATTTATAAAACGACTCATGCTCCTATAAACTTGTTGCAGATCACAAACAAACGAATTCAACTTCCATCTAAATGATCACACTTGTGCCATCTTGTGCATTACTATTAACGATTGTTTTACTCATCAACGGTAAACAGATTTGAGGTCGACTGATTTCATTGAAAATCAAATGATGAAGTAAACATAAGGGAGAAAGATTAAACTCTTTTCATGAGAACTGAATGTTGGAAGAAGATTTTAGTTGACATGTTGTTCGAAATTTAATGCTCTAGTTAATATTCCTAGATTCTTCTCAATCCCAAGAGAAGACATGGATTGCCAAAGCTGATTTACATAATGATTCGAGTCCTCTCTCAGTTGGCACATTAACATTTACGCAAGCAAATGTGGTTGGATCACCAGTTCGTGTTACTGGTACTTTAACAAATTTAGAGCCCAACACCCGATATCATGGATTTCATGTACACATGTTTGCCTTACCCGATGGCATATGGGATTGTTCTCAAGCTGGAGCTCATTGGAATCCTTATGGTATGGATAGATCTAGTTCTTCTTACTTTGTTCTACTTGAGTATTTTGTTAGAGACAACTCATGGCGGTCGAAATGATCCGACTGAACGAAGACATGTTGGAGATCTTGGGAATATTTGGTATTTATTCTATATAGTATCCTCAAGTTCATTGTCATATTGATCTTTTCGAGGTCTGATGCATTTGGTACTGTCACCATTGATATCGAAGACTCTATCATTCAATTACATAATAAAACAAAAAGTTCTATTTTAAACAAATCAATTGTGGTTCACAAAGATGAAGACGATCTTGGTCGTGGTACCTATAGTGACAGTCATACGACAGGGTAATATATGAGAATTATTCCTTGCTTGACAAAACCACTCATTTTTTATTCTTGTAGCCATGCAGGTGCGCGTCTCGCTTGCGGTAATATTAAACTGGTAGATGAAGGTATGTTCATTTTATCTTGAAAATTCATATTTCAGAACTACATAAAGATACCTGCTGAATTTTGTTTTGATGCTGTCGAAATTCACTTGAGATCTTTCTCAAGAAAAAGACTGGTAATAAGAAATGAATCGTCTGTTAGTTGCTGACAAGCAGACAGAAAATGGATATGTATACATTGCTTTTATCTCGGTATGATCTGCACTGACATGTTGATCTCGTTGTTACTCTTGGCTGTCACACAGCAACGGAAAGAAAATTACTTCTTTCGTTGTAAAATGAATGCCAAGAAGCAATTATCTCATTGATCAACCAGACACTACTGTTGGCAAACAATTTCTGATCTTGAATAACAAACCACACAGTTTTTCTAGGACGTCATTCATTCGAGACATCCAGGTAAAGCAGGAGGGAGAGGATGAAGGGAGTCTGTCAAAGTTGGACGAACCTGGATAGAGAAGGTGCATCGAACATTTCTGAATGTTCAGACACTTACTAAGAATATTTTTCTTTTTCCACAGAAGTTTTTGAGAAATTTTGAAGCTGAGCTTATTTTGATGACCATTTTTGAACATAAAATGAACTGAAATAATTGAAGATTATGCTACATGAACAGACAGTTACTTTGTGAAGCAATAATCTTAACTTCGTTATATTTTCGTGTCCCATTAGTGTTGAATTTCAGTATTTGTTGTTGTTTTTTATATTTTTACTAGTTTTTGCTCATTAAAACACGATACATTTATAAAACGAAAACCTTGTAATAGATTAGATTTGTGCCTGCTGTTTATGAAATAGGTGTTTTTATCTTTTTTCTTGATACGCATATATTCATTTCTATTTTCCATATAATTATTTAAGAAACTTGTATTGGATAAAAAAAGAAGCAGTATACTTGAACAAAAAGAGTTTTTCTGAAGGTTTTTTTATATTGGAGATTCCGTAAGAAGAGGTCAATGAATCTGAACAAAGTTGAACAGAGGGAGAGCAGTATAAAAATGCGATTTTTACCTGGGTGTCGTTAATGAATGATTCCTAACAATAATGAGACATATATTTATTTATATAATGGATGTCTCATATTGACTAACGATACATTTTCTATGACTTTTTTCATATTCGTTGCTGACACCATTGACTTTGGTTATTGTGTAATCGGTTGTTGTGGATGGACAAAAAGTTGATAAATAGTATATAGCTGTTGAATCTTTAGATGAACTGGAAATTGTTGTGAATATAACTTGAACTGAGACTAGTTGTAGTAGATCATATTATTTGTTTTAGAGTATTGTATTTGTTGCTGTGATATTGTATCAGATGTCAATATGACATCAGTTAACATATCATATGTTCTTTCACACTTATTATCATCAAACGTATTATCTTCATGACCAACCTGCTTTGCAAAGACCTAGTTTTTGCAGATTTCAGCGAACAGTGTTACCACTTACTACTAGTGACGAGCAGCATTAGTTATAGAAAAGAGAAGGAGACTACGAGTAACGCCGCCGCTTTGATGCGTCTAACAGCTACCGTATCAAAAAGAGAAAAAGAGAACGAATGAGACTTATTCTATTCGATGTATTAATTACAATCGATCACAATCATGCTCATCCACAGTAGGCATAAAAGATCTTGACCAGAGCTATAAACAAAAAGTTTCAGTTATTGTACAAAAAGATGTGTAATAGTACTGAGTTTGTTTACTCTTTTTTTCTTCACAGCTTCAACTATTAGTCCAGTGACACGTGTTCTCTGGCCGTTCGATTTGAATACCAACGATTTGAATAATATTTACAAGAGTGATCCGGTGAATAGTCCATCATATGTACCATCACCGGTGAGCCAAACAGCTATTCATCTTCGATCATCGCTACAACAATCGGTGACAATCATTCAACCATTCTTGAATTTTGCTCGTATTTCATTTACGGTGAAATGTTGGATCTATCCGACATCGTTATCTGTCTATGACAATACCATTCTCTCGCAATGTCAAAATCAACCAACACGAATTTGTCTACAATTGGGTCTACGAAATGCGACCCTCTTTATGGGATTATTTGAAGACTATTTAAAAGGCAAAACAGTACTGAAAGCAAACAATTGGTATCATGTAGCATATGTTTTCGATGCAGCATCACTTCAACAAGCAGTTTATCTGAATGGTAAACAAGATGCCATGAGAAAAGCATCGAATAGTTATCAAGGTACAGAAGGTATTCTGACTATTGGAACATCGAAAAGTAGTCGAATACATCAAACTTATTTCGACGGTTACATCGATCAACTTTCGTTTGTATCACTAGTTAAAAGTGTCGATGAAATCTGGCGTGATGCCACTACTATTAAGTCAATAATAAGTGAAGGTAATCTATCTTTTAGAAAAAAAATAGTGACACTTGTTTGAATATGATTTTAGAACCGATTAAGAATCCGAACTTTATCTTTGAACCGTAATATTTCTCTTCGAAATATATATCTGATTTTTCAATGACTGGAAATTGTGTTTTGTTTAGTATTCCATCAGTAAATTGTGATGCTCAAATGGCAATTATTCAACAACAAGCAAAAACAATCGAACAACAAATTTTGACGACAAATAACCTCTGGCAATCAAGTATGGAAACTGTATCATCTATATGGGAACAACAGCATCAAGGTATGCAGACAAGCAGATGAATAAGCTGATTTAATTTGAACTTTTGAAAACTATCTTAGTAGTTTAGAGATATTGTCTCTTTTTAATAATATTACAGGAGAAATCAAGATTTTTTATCTCACTTTGTAGGAATTTACGATGTCAGTCCTCCATCTGGTATTCACATTTGGAAACGAACTGAAACTTCAATATATGATTTTAGGCCTCCGAATAAACTTTGGTGCCCTTGGCGAGCAGACTGTACGCAAGTTCTAGATCAAAATGGCCAAATGACCATTGAAATGGATCAGATGGAGCCTCTACCATTTGAGTTACGTGCATCAATCAGCAATAATCCAACCAATGACACTTATGTAGTTCATCTTTATCTCGATCATCATCGAGCACAGATCAGTAAAACAGTCAATGGACAAAAAATGATTATTAATCAGACGAACGACTATGATTGTGTTTTATATAATGAAAAAGGTAAGTTACAAGAGATTATATGAAGTATGATTTGGAAGTTTTCTATTTTTCAGTTCGCGGCAATTATTGGTTGAGTATCGATTATTCGAATTTGTTTGTCAAATATGGTCAAGGTGAAGTACGAGATCGATGTACAGTGCTTAGAAGTGATATTCCAAGCAATGAAAGCAATCATGTACGACAAATTCAATTTGTTCATATCTCACTTAACAACAGTCGTGACATAGCTAAATTGAAACAGTTTGAATACAAAGTTAAATTAAAATTGGGTCGAAATCCAGTGGTCTACGATCCGCCATTGATTGTCGTTTCGCCGAAGAATTATGATTTGAATGACTATCGAGACAAGGCAACGATACCAGTGACAAGACTAGATCCACCTTGTCAAGCTCTGTATCATGATGTGATTCATTGGCGATTTCAAGATGACGAATTTCCGCATCTTTTTGAGGCGATTGAGCAAAGTGTTCGAAATGAGTCAGGCTGGTGTCGTAAAAGATTAATCGAAAAAGCCAATCGATTCGGGAAGTCGAATATTTTAGCTACTTATTTAAGAATCACCGTTGGACTTAATCGAGGCACGTCACCTGGTGTTCCTTTTGTCGTGGAAATTTGGCCACCTGGTCACTACAGCCCGATTCATGCGCACGCCAATACTTATGGCATTATCCGAGTATTGAACGGTGCGATTAATGTGAAACTTTATCAAACATTGTATGTGAAACGACAGAAACCTTTCTACCAAATTAACATTGCCACAGGTCAAGTTACTTGGCTTTCCCCTGGTTTAAATCAAATTCATAAATTAGAGAACATAACACCCAATCAAACATGTATTACTATTCAAGCTTACGAATATAGAAGTGATGAAGTGAGTAACTATGAATTTTTTGACTATATTAACAATGATGGGAACGAGATCCGTCGATTTGATCCCGTATCTGATATAGATTATTTTCAATTCAAAAAGATCATGATGGACGAATGGAATAACAAACTTTGAAACGAATAAAAATACATTGATCGTACCCATGTTTTACATATTATATTTTCAATTGCATTGATTTTTTTATCCTGAAAGCCCTTATTGGATTTCGATGGTAACCATAAAAAGAATAAATTTTAATGCTTGATATCAGAAAGAAAAATAAGGAATTCCTAAACATTTTCAATCTTAGTATAGTAATAGGTTTTTTTGATTGAAATTTTATGCGAAAAACTCAACGCATTAATGAATACGGGAAGTGCAACAAGGTGGGTATAAGATGCAAAATGAGACTTATACTGTCATCAGACAGAACCCAACAATTTGCTCTGATTCATATGACAATATGTCAAAATAAATACTAGAAATTAAATATTACTTCTTTTGTTGACAGTGTGGATGTAAGTGTATATGCTGCATTTTGATTCTATCGATATTCTTTACAAACCCACATTCAGCCTTACACTTAGCTTCACCATTAGCCACTCTTTGACCTTCAACATCGAGAGATTGTGTCCCATTCTGATCGTTCTCAATCGCTTGATATATCATGACTGATGTCGATAATATTCAGAAGTTTCTAACTCTGGCGGTAGCACAAATGATGAAGATTACATCAGGTACAGCATGACACATGAGTTCATAGAAGATGCCAAAGCAATTCGAGTTCTTCGTGTTAGGTGTGAGTAGGCAGACTCAGTTTTCCATACTTCGATCTTATTCACACATTCACTTTTAGTCTTAGACTCAGCTTCACCGTCAGTGATGCACCAACACCTACATCCCACATGTGGTACAAAAATTTATTGAAAGATGCAACATCAAATTAAAAACTGTGATATACGAGAAAAAGAAAGCTTATCTTTTTCATTTCGTAGTATTTTTTTCTCGTCTTATGAATACTAATAGATTTTTTCTATGAATCTCCAACTCAAACATGAACGACAGATTAAAAAAAACACAAAAACTCTGGTCGTAGAAAAACGCTACGATTGCCTCAAGCGTCGACAGTCAAAAAACTCTCTTTCATGCCGCCTGCGATTAACTTGGTTTGATATTTAGTAAAAGAAAGTTTGCTTTTCATTATAGGCTTTCTATCACTACATTTGGTGCGAAATGAAAGCAAAAGCCGTGACTTACCAACCTGAATTGATAGGGACAGTATCATCCTTGTATTTGGGCTTCCTGGTATTGAAAATATGGATTGTACATAGGTTCTTCGACATCTAGGTTGTAACTGAGCTCTTGGAATATCTGTTTGCTGTTTAGCAAGCTGAGCAATGAAGGACCCATATTTTGGTAAATGCTCCATCGCATAATTTTTCACCTGTTTCAATTGAATCGACCCTAAAGTAATCTCATTGAGCGGCTCATGATTCAAAGTTTGAAAATCAGGAACAGCATCAGTAGCATCGATTCATGCCCATTTACAATTGTTCTATTTCGTATTTTTTAACCTATTAGCATATTCTTGATATTGTTGCTTTCACTGACGAAACCTAAGATAACATCAGCGAGCTTGTTGTCGTCTGAAAAATCTTGTACAAAAAGTGGTCGAAGGCATTGATTATTGCAAAATACCGGGAAATCCAGATTTTGAGCGCGAAAGCATACAAAGTCTTTTTTATTTAGTATATACAAGGTGGGCCAAAATTTACCGACCAGTCTTAAATTGCGAATAACTTTTGGTAAGAACAGGATCTAGACCTGCGATTTTCACCATTCGAAAGAGTGATTCTCGAACCATCGATCTACATAATATTCACTACGACGAAAGATGCTGTTTCATAGGAGCTTTTTAATTGACATTCTGTTTTTTTGTGTATTTTCATAAATTTTCACAAAAATCTCGTCTAAAATTGCGCCAAAATGTAGCTAAAATTACCCATTTTTTGCTATAAAATTGTCACTTTATGCATTATTCAGTCGACCTCTTTTCTCAAGTGAGCCTTCGAAAAATAGTGATACTTGTATAGCAAAAAATGGGTGACTTGAGCCACATTTTGGCTTAATTTGAGACGAGACTATTATGAAAATTTATCAAAATACACAAAAAAACAGAATGTCAATTAAAAAGCTCCTATGAAACAGCATCTTTCGTCGTAGTGAATATTATATAGATCGATGGCTCGAGCATCACTCTTTAGAATGGTGAAAACCACAGGTCTAAATCTTGTTCGTATCAAAAGTTATTTGCAATTTAAGACTGGCTAGTAACTTTTGGACCACTCTGTATAGCTGCTTCCCAAGCAGAAAGAAAATAAAACACGCGTGAAGATGCTATAGGAATTTCGAGCGTTTTCGGATAATACTCTTGGTTCCCGATTTTCAACCAAAGACATTCAAAAAATTCAGCATGAAAACGATCACCTTCTACTCAGGGAAAATTTTGCGAAACACATTCATAATTATCTGATTTTGACCTCTGAAAGGCTCAAATTTTGAATATAGATAATGGTAAAAATATTTGTATGAAAAAATGATCAAAACATTTATTTTTTAAGTAATAACACGGTTAGCAAATATCGCTCCAATTATTAGAGGAAAAATACTGTCAGAAAGGCAGGTAAAGTTGAGACTTTCGTGTAATTGACATCCACGAGATAGTATGAGCATGAAACTGCTCGTAAAACCAAATTTTTAAGCGTTTACACAACTATATATATACTCAATAAAAGAAACTTCATACGCTTTCATGCTCAAGTCTCGTGTTTCTTGATGTTAGCATGGCCAAGTTTCTTCGTACGTGACTAAATGCTTAGAAAAGAATACTTTTGAGCGTTTACACACGTTTTCACAAAATCTTGTCGTCTTGGAGGATTCACGCAAACACTAGAGGAGCGTCAAGCCAAAATAATCTTCGAAAAATCACCTCAATTTGCTGTGTTTCAGATTCAACGACAATATCGAATCACGGTTTTCAAGCTTTGTTTCGCTTGCATTACTTTTTCTGAGAAATACGACGCCAGCAATTACCAAATATTTTTCAGGTATTTCTAAGAAATTCCAAGTAATTATATCTTTTCTCGCAGGTACATATGAAGATTCAGCATTTCTGATAAAGTAAATAGCGTGCCAGAAATATCTAAAGATGGTTGGAAGTCTTTTTCGCATGATTCTGTTGTACTTTATATCACGAGGAATCGAGACGTTAGCTTGCTTATTGTGCTCATAAATACAACTTAATTCTTATTTAATGAAAGAAGAACATGAAAAGACACATCTCTGGATTTGACTTATTCTGTGAAGTATGACAAATTATAGCAAAAATATTTGATAAAGATCGTAACAAACTTCGATATCAGAACATTTTTTTAAAGTTCCTTAACAGAATCACAATGCTCAGATTTTGTTATATTTCATGCAAATATAAAGGAACTTTTCGTAATCATTTATATCGCATACAGTTTAATCACAATCATTCGAGGAAAAACTGCAACTGATTGTGTTTTAATATATAGTTCACAGAAATGTTTTGTTTAGAGACCGATAAAACATAATGAAAAATCTTAAGAAATGTTTTGAGAAGTCTTGAAATTCTTATAGAAGAAAACTTTGATTGGTAGCATGGTAAAACGTTTTGAATTTGGTCTTGGACAGAGTTGAAAAACTCTCATGGAGAAAACGCATCGATTCTATTTAAGTACTGCCATTGTCTCGCGTAAACATTCAGCATACTTTCATTTACCATAAACTGTTTCCATCTGCGACAAGGCCCGAAGTTTCTCAAACGAGAACGAAAACTCTTTGAATCTTATCACATATACTCAACAGTATTCAATCTTTGAACGTTTGCACCGATTCTTCGATCATCTGTGGTTCTCAATGGAAAATAGTACGGCAACAGTAACTCTATAATTAGCTGGTTTTCATATTCGCGCCAGCTATACAGTTCGACTTTTATTGTAAACAGATTTGAAGCAACCCTTCACTTTTCACTTCGACCATTCATTTCGAACTATAAATTTGATTTGATTGTCGTTTAGACATGTGTGACGTATGAAATTCAATCAAGTTAGAAGAGGCATGAATATGGTTTATTGAGATAGGATAAATTGAAATCAATATTAAGAGAATTTGTTTCTGAATTGTTTATATATATGTCGGAGTTGAGTCTAAAATATTGATGAGACAAGAGATTGCCTTTGAAAAGTTGCTGAACTTTAGAGACAACTCCGACATATATATATATATATATATATATATATATATATATAAAGGAAAAGAAGCATGTGTTATGAAGAACTTTTTTCACTGTTAATGGATGGCGACTTGATTTCCACGTTTGACAGTTTCACGCGCATTCGTCGCTCCTTGATTCATGTTGGTTAACGTATGCCCTGGTCCCACACGATTGGTTGGATCTAGACCTTCCAATGCACCGAGCTTAACAAAACTCCATTGAAATTGTGTCGATGTACTGGCATAAATGATTGGAATCCAAACCACCGACGTTTTGGCAAAACAAGCACAAAGAAATGCAATCGCTGGTGGTGTTCCGTAGCCTTTGCCACGAAATGCCGCTAAGAAAAATGCAATTGTATACGGTGTCCAAGTAATGAGGAAGCCGAGTGTTGTCATAATAATACCTAGTTGAAAGTTAAAACAGTAAAATCTTTTTACTTTATTCAACTTTGTCATGTTTAAAGAAAAAATATTTGGTTCAAGCATCTGCTAGAGAACTCATATTTCAAACACTAATCGTAGCATAAAAGTCAAGAATATTTTACTCGTCATAATTGCAAATCTACTTGAATAATTTTCTAATGAATGGTCTACCCTTTTTTTGTTATTTTTCAATGGTTGAGTCCAAGTATATCCCGTTGAATGTAAACTGCTTCGGGCTTCTTTGAAAATATGTATGTCAGTGTAGTAAGTATATTCTAGAAAACTTTTACTCTATCAACTCTATATAACAATTCGATTTACTTATGTGGACAATGCTTACTTTTGACAATGCGTCGTTCCATTTCGATTCGTTTCACACTGAGTGCTGCTTGAATGCCACGTTCAATTTT